ACAGTGCAAATCTCCTTTTAAGCTGGGCTTAATTGTAATGCTTAACACAATGTTTCTGTCTATTTTCGTTGTATTTTTTAATAGTCTTATATAGCTTTACTGTCTTGTTTGTTTGTTTGTTTTTTTTTTTTTTTACATATGGGACCACCTTAATTGGCTTACTGCTTTTGTGTTATTCCTACCTAACTAAACAGTTATTCTTCTTTGTTTTTAGTGCATATTAATTTTATTATCCTTTATTTTTTTAACTCGTGGGTACGCGCGAGCGTACCACGAGTTATTGCAGGGACTGAGATATGCAAATGAGTCACTCACTCACTCGTAGTAGACGCACTTCGTAATTAATCGGGTCCGAACTCGAGAGCGCGAAGATCTATCGTTTCCAAAGAAGGACGCGCTCGCCGAAGTTCGGTAGCATCAAATTCCTCGCTGCGAGCGTGCATCGTGCGCTACAGCACGGTTAGGATAGAGGTCTTACCAAATTTAAGACAGGCAGGAATCTTTCAAATTAGTACGATTCAAAAGCCTTTGACCCGTCCAGGCATTAAACTTGACAAGAAGATGAGCATTTGCTCTTCGACTCCTTTAACTTCGACGCTGGCTTGATCTCCTACCTTGTAGTACTGTAGTAGGTTATGTATATGAATGAATTTATGGCGGTCAGTATAAAACACGGACTACGGACTACGGACTGCGGACTGGGTATAAAATACGGACTATAAAATACGGACTAGTGAAATGTATGGTAAATAAAGGCACTTCTTCTTCTTCTTAAGGACTCCCCGAGATCACGGGGGGAAATGGATGTGAGTTTGAGCATTACCTTTTTAAAATAACAGCGGAAATCGAGATAAGAAAACATAAGCTAATAGCTGTGGTCACACTACAGACTTTTACCTAGGTAAACCCTTTTTACCTAGGGCAAATTCATCAAAAATCTACCTAGGTAAATTCATCTCGGGTTTTGTTTTACCTAGGTAAAAATTCTGGGAAGGTCACACTACTGATATCGGCTCCCAATATTTTCACGCCCGTTAAATTTTTTGGAGCGTAAATTCAAGAAGGCAAAATGCGCAGGGATCTAGCTGATCAAAGAGACGTTTTTTTCTTTTATCTCGGTGTTATTTCTTACGCTAATTCAACGTGCAAGGTGAAGAAAGGCGAAGACGTAGACGACTTGTGCTCCCAAAATTTCTTTCACAGCTTGATCTATGTCCGGTTCTGTCATCAAGACCTTCGCCGACGAGCGTCTATTGGCTAGCAACCTCGGTATTTCATTTTTCCCTAGCTATTGCTTTGGGGTAGCTGTCAAGGGAAACTCTATTGTTTTCGAGACATATCCAAGACCCAGACGATAAAATTTCCCCGAGGTAAGTTACCTAGGGAAAAATCGGTCACACTTAAAAAATAAAGTTTCCCTAGGTAAACTGTCAACAAGTCGTGTTTACCTAGGTAAAAAGTCTGTAGTGTGACCACAGCTAATGTTTTGCGTCCTACTTCGCGGAGGAGTTGTGTCGGCTTTGTATCGCATATGTTCTTTCATTGCCATGAAATGCGTTTACTTGTCAGTAGCCTGGTTTCAATTAGCCTTAATTTCATCCCATTGCTTCGAGTTGTTTTTATGGCTCGATCGTTTGCCCCGGTCGTTTGCCGGCGGAAGTTCCATAGAAAAGGCATTAAATTTGAGACTTTTCGCCAAATCATGTGACCATCCTCAATGGCGTAGTGGCTATGTGAGGTCGGGTCTAATCGAAGGTACAGGGTTCAAGTCCTGCTAAGGACCTTCTTTTTCCCTTCCTCCTTTTTTTTCTTTTTTGTTTTGTCTTGTTTGCTTATTTGTTTTGCTTTTTTTTTTGTTTTGTTTTTAAATATATACTTAAATAACTGTTACTAAAGTGCAATAAACAGCAAGAAAAGTATTGTGTTTCCAGAACAAGGATAGTATATTTATAATATGAATTTCTATCATTTCCTAAAATTCACTGTGGCAAAACCAGAGGTGATAACTAATTGATTATTTTCTAAACAACTTACCCACGAGTTGACGATAGTCTTTCTTTGATTCTCTCTCTCTGTTTTTTTATCTCATTAGGGGCAAAGCTAACAAAATAAAATATAATATATAGAAGATATTACATCGCTGCGTGGAGATGCGATATTTCTCTTCTTGTGTTGAAAAAATATTTCACTTGTTCGTTGCACTCACTCGTGAATTATTTTTTCAACATGAGAAGAGAAATTTCGTATCTCCAAGCGGCCATGTAATATTCTATTTATTATATAAACACCAATGAACTACCAAACCATTTCATAATTTTTTGGTGTGAAAGGCACGATTTATTATGTAGCCATAGCAACGGTGATATTTTCACATGTGAAGATACCAAGTTTTTGCGCGAATTAGAGCTCACCTGGTATTTCATTGGTGTTTATATAATAAAATAATGTCTTCAGTTAAATTTAGGCTTCTTGTCATGTCACTGACCTTTAACTGTAGGACAACAAAGGGTCTGAATGCCATCCCATTCCCCTAACATGGTTCTTAAGGCCATTACCAAGTCGACCCTTTTTTTTTCCAACAGTTTGGACAACTTTGGTGATAAGGTATGTCACCACCGTTTAGTGAAATTATGACTTTGAGACATTTTTAAGCAAAAAAGGTAACTCCCAATACTTAAGGCAGTACAGAAGGAATTTTGATGGTAAATTGAGACTCTTGCAGGGTAAAGCTTTTGTAATGTCATGTATGGGGTTAGTAATCTAACTTGTGGAAAACTGGGGGAAATCCATCAGAGTTCAGACCAGAGTAATGTTTTTGCTTATTAACTGAGTGTTCAAAACTGTGTTGGCACCAAATGACTGCCTGTAGAGCTACTACATGTACGCACTTAGTTTAGGTTTTCAAGAAAATAATGTTGAATAGTTAGAAAGTAGCCTGGGCAAATGGGGGACATTTCACGACGCCACTAATCACTGGTTTCATCGCAAAATGATGTCTGTGAAATGAGTGCAGAAATTCCATACTGATGACATGTCAATACCCAGATCTGGTAGTGCTTTTTGATTGGTTGAAGCAAACTTTCAGCCAATCAGACCTACTACCCAGATCTGGGTAGTGAAAGGTCACCAGTATGGAATTTCTGTCCTCATTTCCCAGACGTCATTTTGCCGGGAAACCAGTTGTGGCCTGGTCAAATGTTAGCTGTTTTCTCACTCTGTCATAAGAAAGGGTGGAAATAATTACATGAATGTATTTTAAACAGTTTGTGTAACCTCCATCCTTCCTTATTACAGTGGAACCCTGCCTTATGGCTACCTTAGTAACACGGTCACCTCGTTATTGCGGCCACTTTTTCGCGGGCTATACATTTCCTCATAAAAACCCCCGTTAATGTGGTCACCTGTTAATATGGCCAATGGCCACGTTTTGAAATCCCAAACAATGGAATCTCTTATAATTTCACCTCGTTAATAAGGCAACTTGTTCGAAATTTAAAAATTTTTTTAAATTTTCTAAATTGCTTGTGACAAGTTAATTTTATCGACCTAGTTCTCTGAGCCTGTTCTTGTACTGTTTTTAGACTACAGTACACATAAAGTGCACTTGTTGCAATTTTTTAGCCGAATTTTAGAAGTGTTTTATATACTGAAGGAAAATTTTAAGTAGTTTTTTCAATTACTGTCCACGATATCTATACATTCCGGTTGTTTATTAATGACAACAGTTGTTCAAGAAATGCGAAGTCGACTTGCAGTGTATTTGTCATTATAGGGCCCTCAAGTCGTGAAATTTGAGCCTGCACTAATAATATGGCCACCCCGTTAATACGGCCAAACTTTTTTGACTCATTGGTGACTGTATTAACGGAGTCCCACTGTACAGTCTTGCTAATATTAGATGCTTAGCCCTGCATAACATACCACTCTTATGACTCAAACTATTTTTTAATATGTTAATACTGAGTATTGCGCAGTGTTACTATGAAAATAGAAGTAAAAATAAACTGAAAAAATTATTGTTATTTTACAAGTTTTTTGATATGAATTCACAGATATTCCATCTCATTGCAAGTGACGCATTCTGGGCTAATATTGTTGAATGTAAAAATAATCTGGAGAATCTGAATTGGAATGTACTCCCGGTGCTTTGTTAAGTTAAAGTTTCTTTCCTTTCTTTTTTTAACTACACTTTGGTTATGAAAGACCATGCACAGAAAGGTGACAAACAAAAATTACCTTCACAACTGCCACATCTATTTAATTGTACATTGTTATGGTTCCTTATCCTACTATCCTGCGCACTATTGATTCCTTTCAGAATCTCTCTCTTTATTAATTCCATGCTTTGTTGATGTAACGTCCTTTGTGTAGTTTGTAGTGCCTTTGTATGAGCAAGCCAACTTAAAAGTCATTACTTGTGTCCAGAAATTGGAAATAATTCGGATTTTTTTTCATGGTGATGATGATGATGATGACGATGATGATGATTAATATTATTTAATGTTTCTCATTATTTTTCATTTTATTTGTTTGTTCTTACCTGTAGTACAAACCAGACACAACTTTAACTCTTCTCAGTGTACGTGTGAGGGTAAATACTCTTTCCTGAATCTCTTTTTGGTTGTTGGTTTGTTGTTTTTTAGTAATGTAGCCTCTAGGTGTATTGTAAAATGTGAAAGTATTGTAAATAAATGAGAGAAAAAACCTGGATTTTAGGTACTTTATATTGGGCACAGTTATTATTATTCCATCTGACGTATTCCATATGACGTCAAATAGACGCTTCCGTTTAGGTGAGGTTTAAGGCTAGTGGCACTTTGTGATGTCTATCATAAGGGGCATGAATCTCATTAACGTGCAATCGTGGACATAGAATGTCTAACCACAACAGAAAGCCATACAGAGACACCATTAGAACACTAGCGGGTGATAAATTTGTTGAGTCATTTGCTATGCTTTGTTTTCTTTTAGGTGTTTAGCCATTCTGACCATGCTTGGAAATGGCATCTTTTCCGGAAAGATCCCTCAAAGTACAAGTCACCATTTTGGCCTCTGAATGGGGATCAAGCAAAGGAGGGCTGTCCACCATAAACAGAGAATTAGCCATTCAGTTCGCCAAATGTCCTGAAGCGGAAATCACTTTCTTTCTTCCAAAATGCAGCCAAGAGGACAAAAAATTAGCCCTCCAACACAACGTAACGATTATCGAAGCGACTCGCCGGCCTGGCTTAGAAGAACTGGACTGGCTTCTCTTTCCACCAGAACATTTACAAATAGATGTAATCGTTGGTCATGGGGTTAAACTTGGCAAACAAGCACAAATCATGAAAGAATCAAAAAAGTGTAAATGGATCCAAGTCGTGCACACAGACCCAGAAGAACTGGGAATGTTTAAGAACTATTCCAACCCAATTTCCAAGGGTGAAGAGAAACATAGAACAGAGGTAGAGCTGTGTGAAATGGCGGACCTCGTTGTAGGAGTTGGACCCAAGTTGAGTGGAGCCTTCCGTTCGTATCTTCGTGGTTGCCAAAAAGAATTCAAAAGGGTGGTAGACTTTACCCCTGGAGTTTTTGAAGAATTTGTCAGCGTGATTCAGGACATTGAAGAAGGAGAACAGCGCAGTGTCTTGGTGTTTGGTCGTGGGGACGCAGAAGATTTCGAACTTAAGGGGTTTGACATCGCAGGAAAAGCGGTCGCTGCATTACAAGATACTCGTCTTGTGTTTGTTGGCGCCCCAGATGGAAAACACGAAGAAATAGCGAAGCGGTTAACCGGATGTGGTGTTCCTGCAAGTCGCTTGAGAGTAAGAGGTTTTATTAAGGAGCGAGAGAGTTTAAGGCGCTTGTTTCAAGAAGTGGATCTTGTAGTCATGCCTTCACGAACAGAGGGCTTTGGGTTGGCAGGACTTGAAGCCTTGTCAGCTGGTCTCCCTATCCTTGTCAGCCGCAACTCAGGGTTTGGACAAGCACTGTGCAGTGTACCATTTGGTTCATCCTTTGTAGTAAATTCAGAGGACCCCACTGATTGGACTGCAGCCATCTCGAAAATATGGGCCAAGGACAGAAAAAGTCGACTTGAGGAAGTGGAAACTTTGCGCGATTCGTATGACAAGAAATATAACTGGACCAAACAGATAAAAGATCTTCTTGACAAGATGATTAGCTGGACCAACGGTATGAATGTCAATTGCATTTTTTATTGTGCTTTAATGTGTAGGTCGAGCTGTCCACTCTAAAAAAATTGTTTGGATTACTTAAAACGCTGTCTAGGATGAAAAGAAACAAAGGCTTTTTCTTGTAAATGATGTTATATACAACCAAAGTTTCCGGCTACAGTATGTTTCCGAGTATCCGGACACTTCAGTTTAACATTGCAATAACTTTCCTTTGTTAATCGCAAGAGCTCTGCAATTTGGCCCAGAGAAAATATATTTGGTCCTTAATATGATGAAAGACAGTTTAACTTTTTTGCCTTTGTTTCCATCGCGAAATTTATATTTGCAGAGCTCCTAAGTTGCCCAGTATCCGGACAGCTGGCCCAGTATCCGGACACAACAATATCAACGTAATTGTACATAACTTTCGACAGGCAAGCTACTTATAAGCTTCTCTTGCTCTTGCAAAGTGGTCCGGCAATCGATTCCAAAAATATAACCTCGCTCCGTGAAATAAAATATATCAAACGCCTGGGGTATGGTGGGGAAAGCGAGCGGCTGTTAAATGGTATAATTCTTACTTCCTTGTCTAGGAACTTTTTCACTGATTTAAGGAAGGCATCCGTGGACATGTCGAAGCCGCGGTTTGCAAGCTCAATTAGCCAATTTGTAAACGACTTTTTTTCTTCATTTTTTATTTTAAAAAAAATGCTTGGGGAAGGGACCTCAATCCGACGGTCAAAGGTCACTCTCCTGTTTAGTCTGACCTGCATTGTTGATTTCTTCATGCTCAGTCCCCACAATAAGCGGCCTGCTTTTCTAGCTCTAATTCCTCCTTCTTTCACATCTCTCAATCCCTTTGTGACATTTTAAAGACCGTTGCAACCCCATTCTAGCAGTCACAACTGGGGAAAGTATGAGAATTCCCGGTTCAACTCCGACGCTTTCGGTTATATATTTAAAATGCAGTCACGCGAAACAAGCCGTGCACACGAACTCAAGTCGCCTCATTACATTTTACGACTATATCATATATCCTAAGCTTTAACTATAGTTATAGATATGAAATAAATCTTATCCGGGTAATGTACACAGCTAATTCATCGATTCTGTACAGCAAAGAAAAAACTGTCCGGATACTGGGCACCTGACATCAATACTTAGTGTGTGTTTCTGGGCTCCGTTATTCCAAACAAGTCGAATTTCAAGAAGAATTAATAAACTTTCTGAGAACCTAACTTCTTTAAGTATCTTCACTTTAAATATAAAACAGTTTCTTTAAAAATATCACGTATTACCTACCCTTTTCTGAGCAGCACTAATTTTACTGCGCAGTAAACAGCGTAAATATTAGCCATGAAAAGTTTATTCACCTGAACAGAACGGCGTCTTCTGCGACTGTTTCGCAAGCTTTCAACTTGTTAAAACCTTCATCTTGAAGCTGAAATATTCAGCTTTCATTTGAAATACCTCATTTACCGATAGCTAAAAAGTGCGCCTCAAGAATTGAGTTTTTGTTTTAAGTGTCCGGATACTGGTACCGTCCGGATACTGGGCAACATACTGTACTCTCAATCCAGAAAAAAAGAAACCTGAGCGTTTTTACTCTTTCATGCATTCCTAAAAGACAACAATCTTGTCCTTTTTTCTGCAGTTGATTTTTCAAATGTTCAGAGCTTCCCCGAAACAATAGGTGGAACCGTTGTATCTTCTCACCTGGCTTCTCAGGCTACACGAGGCACGACAGAGAAACATGCAGGTAACCCTTAAATGTAAAGCGTGATCGGAATAAACAGCGTCGACGATTTCTCTTCCGATTCTGTTTTTGATAGTCTGTTACGGTCCAATATCGTAGTCACCTTTTAAAGCCTATAAGAGCTATCCCGCCATAGAACTCATTTCTAGTCTTTTGAGAATAGGATCTAGAGCAGAAAACTTGGTACCGTTCACAGCGGTAATAACTTAATTTCGCAGTGATTTAAGTCATGGTCGGTTACGCGATTATTTCTTGCCCTCGGTAAGGAATGCATGAAAGAACAACTAAGCACATATAATAAACAATTTTAACCCTTCAAAGTTAAGAGAAACGTCCATGGATATGACACTAATTGCCTTTTGAATCTTATTTGTTTGTAAGGTGAGTGTAGGATTGAAAGGAAGAAGAGAAACAATGAGGAGGACATCACGAAGAACCTTCAAACTGGAGCGAAGGCCAGAAAGACCATGGGCGATATCGGTGCTTCCGGATCTACAAGTAAGAGCTCATGATAAAGCTCAACTTCGCTGCGTGACCAGCGTCCCAGCATCAGTCTTCTCTTTTCCTTTCTCTTGCTTTGCTTCAGGTGTTGGAAAGAGGACACAGCCCGAAAATAATAGACCTTATCTGTTCTGTTGTTTTGTTACTTCGTCGACTTCTGCAAAACAGTCCCTTTCCAAATTGATCATATTTACGGTCGTTCTAAAAAATGTCGTCAAAGGAGACATGCTCTTGGGAGCAACGCTTGGTTTGTGATGAGAATGGGGCTTTTAGCGAATAATGTCTATACAGTGTACTTAGATTTTAACACACGTACTGTATCTTAAAGGATTTTACTTTAGTAGATCTAGCAAACAAATAATGATTTTGTTTGATTTTTCTGTTAGATCTTGATTCAACTCAGTATACCTCCACCAAGGGGAGATCAAGTTATTCCCGGTTATGTCGTCTTCTAATCAGCTTGGGTTCAAAAGCCCTCAGAGAAACGTTTGACAGAATAATTCCACCACAAAGTCTTCAACGCATTCTGAAACGGAACCCAGCACACTTTAAACTTCAGTCACGTCGAAAGGAAGGGATACTAAACTCAGTCCAGTGGAGTAAACTGTATCCTACCACACCCTCCGAAGTTTCATCGGCAGGCTTCGACATCCCCCTGCTAATGGTTCTTCTAAGGACAATCTGTGATGTAAGTCCTCCACCCGCTGGTTGGGATGCTCCTCCTCTTCCCGAAGACCTAAGCCGTGAGTCTGACATTGCGCGTCTGAAATATTTCTTCAACGCCGTGTCTAGCCATTCTGGAGAAGGTTTTGTTAGTGATGCTGTCTTCAGTAGTTACTGGCAGCAGATCCATGACACTCTGGTACGATTGGGAGGAGCTGATTATGAAGATGTCATTGAGCAAATGAGGTGTCAGGAAATGGACGTCCTAGGTGAGGAACATTTCAGAGAACTTCTCAAGCAGTGGAGGAAGGTGGAGGACAATATCAAAGACAAACTGAATGAACTGGAACGTGCAGAGGCTTTAAAGATGGCAGGTGAGCTTTAGTGGTGAAAATATGTCTGCTGTTTGTATTAACATGGCTAGAGTTTTTCAGAATGATTATAATAGTATAAGAAGACTTTCGATGTGGTCAGTTTGGCAACGAACGGTAATTTTTGTTATGTGCTTTGCTATATATAACTAGGTCCTGCCTGGAAAGGTAAAATTGTCATTGAACGTTTTTGATGACGAGATTCATAGAGATCTGAAATCATAGACCCCTGCTGATGTTCGCCTATTCAATAGGCGAACATCAGCAGGGGAGCTCTGTAGAAGTAATCAACTTTTTACGGCTCATTTGCTTGGAGGTGACAAATTCTCATATCAACGGAATTCCTGTACGTCAACAAGATTTCGGTTCAACAAAAAACTCAACTACAAATTAGCCGCATTGGAAGTCTTTCTGCCGAACCGGAATGCATTTGCCTCTGTAGTGGCTTCTCTTAAAATTTATTGTACTTCGAGAAGAGTGATTTTACGTACTTCTTACTGGGAAATTTTCTAAGCGCCAGTTATTTAACTGGTATATTACAAAATCGCGTCATAATTAACCCCTTTTCTGTTTGAACGCTTTTATCAAACCCCATTTATCGTAAATAATTTCAATACAGCATATAAGGCAGACTGGAAAACTAAAGCACTTATTTTCTTTAACTAACCCACCAAGAAAGAGGCCTGGAGATCCAATGATTTCTGAAACCGCGGCCTAAGGTAACCCGTAATGGTTTGAAAGTAATGTCACTCTATTTTCTTTTTGCCTCTCTCGCAAGTGAAAGTGAGAGTTCACAGAGACTGTGCGGTTTTCTCGAGTGCGTTTTAGAAGCTGCCTTAACGGAAAGGTTACTCCACTACCGGAATTAAAACATCGAGGAAATTATTAATTTAAAGCCGCGGAGTAAATTTTATAAAATTCTCACAGAGCCACAGCCTAAAAAGGCTAAGCTGCTCTGTTGAATCAGGAAGGCCAAACTATTTTACTTAATGCTAGACGGAGATTCAAACGATATCTGAGAAGCGAGTTTTTAGTTCCCTCTGAGACACCCGGAGAATAAAATTCTCGCAGAGCCACAGCCTAAAAAGGCTAAGCTGCTCTGTTGCATCAGGAAGGCCAAACTTTTTTTCTTAATGCTGGACAGAGATTCAAACAATATCTAAAAGCGAGTTTTTAGTTCCCTCTGAGACACCCGGAGAATAAAATTCTCACAGAGCCACAGCCTAAAAAGGCTAAGCTGCTCTGTTGCATCAGGAAGGCCAAACTTTTTTCTTAATGCTGGACAGAGATTCAAACAATATCTAAAAGCGAGTTTTTAGTTCCCTCTGAGACACCCGGAGAATAAAATTCTCACAGAGCCACAGCCTAACAAGGCTAAGCTGCTCTGTTGCATCAGGAAGGCCAAACTTTTTTTCTTAATGCTGAACAGAGATTCAAACAATATCTAAAAGCGAGTTTTTAGTTCCCTCTGAGACACCCGGAAAATAAAATTCTCACAGAGCCACAGCCTAAAAAGGCTAAGCTGCTCTGTTGCATCAGGAAGGCTAAACTGTTTTACTTAGTGTGGGGCATGCACTATCATCTTCACAGATCTAATCAGTGCAAAATTAACTAATTAATGACTCGTTTGCGATCAGGCTTAAGAAATAGTGATCTCCATCAACATTTTCCATGAACATTACACTTTCACATCATTAGCAGTTATTGAGAATTTATGAAATGATCGAGTGATCAGTGTCGACCTTAAAACGTTTTTGCGCTAAAGTGATAATAGGTATCCTTTTGAAGATGATACAAAGGAACCCAAAATAGACTTAGCAAGTTTCGGCCGACGTTTAGAAAATTGAAAAGGGCTGGAGAGCATCACCGTTCAGGCTAAATCCAGTCAGCGACCCTTAATAAAAATCATTTAAGCTTACATAATCAACAACGACGTGAATGCCCGAGTTTCTGACTTGACGGTCATCTGCCACCGTCAGGAAATCGTACGATATTGCTTCTCGAATGAATCCCTCATCTTAATTTCCCCAATTCATTAATCCACGACCAAGTACCTTTTCGAGATCTTCTCCGCACGACGAAACGCTTTCTCTGACTTCTCTGACCGCTTCCCGCTATATTTTCTAGTAGCTGGAAGGAATCTAGTCCTTCTTTGATCGCTTTAAACCCGCTTTCGTCTGCATTTCATCAGCGCAAGTTAAAGGCTCGTGCTAAGGTTGAAACGACAACAACATGATCTTTCCTCTTTGAAAAACCAAACCTTGATGGGTTGACTCGAGCGCCCGGGGGGGGGGGAGCACTTAAGGAATTTCTGGGTGGGGATGTGCCGCTTGGACCCTGGAACCCTTGATCTATACCAGAGCTAGTTGAGCTGAATTTTGGTACCCTATACTAGAGTAAACTCCCAGAATCCCCCTATCCTATAGTAGCTGTTTCTCCAGTCTAGATAACATCTTCAACCAACTGATCAGTTTCCTGAAAAATGATACCCTATTCTAGACCCAAACGCTCTGATTTATATACCCTATCCTAGAGTAAACTGCTTGAAAACCATACCCTTCACAGCGGCACATACCCATATAGCCCATATATGGCAGTACCCCCCCACCCCCCGGGCTCGAGCGCCAGTACTATCTGTACTATCGACCAAATCATAAATAGCCATAAATAATCGGCCCTGCTACTTCCAAACATCATCTCTACATAAAAAGCATAAAATTTTGACTTGCCATGAATTATATCTGTCGGTAAAACCATTTGGTCACTGATACTGCGTACGAGACTACCTTTGTTTGGCAAGCGAGGGTCCAAAGACTGAAGATGCTTTTCCCGACGAACGCGCCACTTTCATGCCGGCTTGGAAATTCGCGCGAGATCGCATTGTGATACAAATAGTATCTGTCTTTCGTCTCAGCTCGTCTTCCATCAGTGACGCAAAGTACACAAGTCATGACAGATTAGTGGCTATTAATTGAAGCCTAATTAGGTTTTTACAAGGACACCGGAAATTGAAACTTCCTCCCTGTGGTGAATTTCAAAGTCGTATGAATCTCGTCAGAGTTAGGCAAACGTAAGTTTTGCGAAGAGACCAGATGCTGAGTCTGAATCACGCTAGGTCTTGAGTAAACAGTCTTCCAACGTACTTTGACAACTTTGTTGTGGGATTGCTATGAAATTGCAATCTTCAGATTAAGTGGAGGCGTTGTCCTCCACATACCGTTATGGTCTGTTCCTTTAAGTTGAGCCCTTCTCCTACGGGAGTAATCGCGGATAGGTTGAACTTGCTGCAATATTGATCACGATTGATTTTTTTCCAAGGCCTTGAAATAAGTAATGTGTAGGCGCTAGTAACGTGCAGTAAAAATTGTTTTGCTTGGAAAGAACCCATTTTGGCAAGTTAAATGTAAAACAATAGGTTACGAAAATAATGATACTTACGAACGTAGAGAAATCTTAAAGAGGTACTGGCGAAGACTAGTAGTATAGTACAGACGAACTAACGGAGGGATAAAAGTCTAGAGACTCGCATCCCAAGACGCAGTGAGAACATAAAGCTACGTCAGTAAGAAAAGAAAACTATTAACTAACCGTACCGAAAATATAATAAACAGTAGGAGACAAGTAAAGGGAACACTTGATGACGTGATACAATCTGACATTTGCCGTAAACGTAATTCTAAACCGTGACGTAGACACAATCGACTACAACAGCAGGAATGATCTGACGTGCAGCAAAGCGTTAAGAATACTAGATTACAACCACATGAACGCATTGACATAACAAAAAGCGGTAACGAGACATGACTAACATATATTGACATACGGGAATAAGGTTAATATCATAGGAACGAAATTATGTACGGGAAATGGGTTTGAACTGGAAATGATTACGCACGAACAAAACTAAAACAACAAACGAACAAGAGTTTGAATGAACGAACGGACTCAAATGCGAGCTGCACGCACAGTACATTCCCAGCTGAAAAAATTACTAAAAATTAATTTTTTCATACCTGGTGACAATGGCAAGTGAGCTGTCGATTGGACAATCGAAGGATGCCTTTTTCTTTTTAGGGTTTTCTTTGGTGGCATAATAGACTGTTAACAGTCCCCTATGTTTTCGTAAGATCGTCAGGATCGAGCGCTTTTCGGTACGGGCGGCCTTTTTGATTAGGCTTTGATTCGGGACACTGAAAGTTAACCCACACAGTAATTTTTAGGGAGTTATTATAACTCCAAAAATGGAGTAAAAATTTTAGGTACAGAATAACCCCTTTTTTGGGGTTACCTTAACTCCAAATTTAACTCCAAATTTGGGGTCATTTTTACTCCTGAGAAAGAGTTCTTTTTACTCCCAGTCTGGAGTTAAAATAACTCCGAAAATCGGGTTATTTTTACTCCTAACATGGGTTGTTTTTACTCTTTTTGGAGGTACTTTAACTCTGAAAATGGAGTAAAAATTTTAGGTACAGGATAACTCCTTTTTGGGGGTTATTCTAACTCTTCAATATCTGGGGTCATTTTTACTCCTGAAAAAGAGTTCTTTAAACTCCTTTTTGGAGTTAAAATAACTCCCCAAAAAATAACTCCACTGTAAGGAGTTAAATTAACCCCACTGGAGGAGTTATTAGAACTCCTTGAAAATTACTGTGCAGATGGCCACCCGTAACGCAAAGCGCTCGATCTTGACGATCTTACGGAAAAGTAGGGGACTGTGTACAGTTACGGAAACTTTTTTTCAAGGTCAAAAGAAAATCATTCTAATACGGTACGAACGAGGCGACATACGGAAAAGCGCTTAGAACACAACACTAATGCCATACGAATAAGCCAACGTACGGAAGTGAGGTTAGAAGACAATACTCAGTACGTTTTCTCTCCCACTATAGAGTGTTAAAGAATATCCACTATAAGTAATTATCGGGCAAGATGACCTACCATTGATTGTTAGGCTGACATATTCGCGGTTGACCTGCCTTGATTCAAGTCATGGTTTTCGGACAATGCAAATCACAAAGAGGTTAGGTTAGAAGACAATACTCACTCACACTTAATGTCTTGCAACCCAAGCAAATATAAAGAGTTGACGATCAAAAAGAGAGGCAACCACGATCTCTATTCACCTATTGGGATGATACCAAGCTGTAAAGAAGTTGAGATTTTGGGCGTTACCTTCCAATGTGACAGCAACTTTTCAGTGCACGTGAAGAACAAATTTATTAAAGCTAACAAATCCCTACATATCCTTAGAATGCTGCGCAAAAGAAGGGTACAATCAGTCAGAAATAGACCTTCTCTTTAATACTATAGATCTACCTAATATTAATTACGCATTATCTGTCTACGCCGCGTCTGAGTCCGATCTTACACCCGTACAATGTTTCTTAGACCGCTGTCTTAAAAGGAAATATACGTCTAAGCCTGTAAGTGTTTATGATTTCTTAGAGAGGCAAGACCGTAAAATTTTCAGAAAAGTTTCCAATGCCAAAGGACATCCACTTTTATCTATTATGCCTCGTGTTAAACCCTCCAGCTACAATCTTAGGAAAGAAACCTAAGATTAACACTATACGCTTTAAAAACTCTTTAATTAATCGTTTAGTTTTTAAATATGAATTAGCTATGTAATATACTAGATATATACACCGATATATATATATTTTTTAATTCTTACTTTTTAACTTTTTAAAATTTCTTACACTTACTTGTAACAAAAGATATGTATTTTTATCTCTTGATGAATAAAGACTTTATTATTATTATTATTATTATTATTATTATTATTATTATTATTATTATTTCACACCAACACATTTACCAACAAGAGGACGTAAGGAAAAATGTTTAAAAGGCAGTGCTAATACAGTAAAAACTAGCGGAGAAATCTGGAGACGCGGGATGGAATTGGTACAGCTTCGGTTTTCTTCGGTTTTTGTGCATGTCAGTATGAATTCTGTCCAACTGTCCGGTGTTACACAATTTCCACTATAAACAGTAATTGTCGGACACCATGATCGACTATTTATTGCTGAGCTGACAAGTTGCACGGTTGAGCTGCCTTTATTTCGAGCCTTGGTTTTCGCACAATGTAAATCTTAATGCGTGCATTTCCTTTCATAATTATTTGCAGCATTGAAACCTAGATACACATTAAAAGTAATTTACTCAAGCAAAACAAAATGCAGGTTATGATATTGTGCATTTTTTTCAGATTTTTCATTCCCAACCGAAATTGTGGAAAAGATGCGTCAACTTTACGGAACACGTGAACAACGCCTCCTGCCCGTTCCTTGGTGTGAAGATTTCAGTTTTCATCTGAATGAAATTTTTACCAGGTTGAAGATCGTGAGCAAAGAAAAAACCCGAGGAGTACTTACTGACGATATTACCGATATGACTGCAATCTTTAAACCGCACGCAGAATGCCAAAGGCCGCGAACAGTCTTGATTGAAGGAGACCCTGGCATGGGTAAAAGCACGTACTGTCAGAAGCTAGCGTATGATTGGGCAACTAAGCAGAAGGAGTTGGACCCCTCTTTTCCAGACATTGACGTGCTATTACTTCTCAAATGTCATGATGTGAAATCAAGCATCTGGGAAGCTATTGATGATCAAATCCTTCCTGCGGAAATTGACGATCAAGCTAAAGAATGCTTCTTCAGATTTGTTCGTGAAAATCAGTCGAGAGTTTTGTTAGTACTTGATGGATTAGATGAAATGGACTCCACTGAAATGAAAACAATCTATAACTTGGTTGAGGGTAAAGAACTGTCAGGTTGTCACGTTATACTCACATCTCGTCATGAGGTAGGGAGGAAACTTAGGAGGTATTGTGACACTCTGTGGGAGATTGTAGGTTTCACCGAAGAAGATGCATATAGTTTTATTCGTACGTACTTTAAAAACATCAAAAGGGAGGACTTACTGGAGAATTTGTTACAAAAGATTCGGTATTCGGATGAGTTAAGAAACTTGTCCAAAAATCCCTTGAACGTAACCTTGCTTTGTGTTCTTTGTGAAGATTTAGAGGGCGTTTTTCCAACGAGCAGGACTGAATTATACACTGAGATTGTCCTATGTGTTTTAAGGCGATATGAAAAAAAGCAAGGATTGCCGATTAAAAGTGAAGACCTCATGAGCATCTACAGGGACGATATAGTACATCTGGGACGAGTGGCGTTACATTCTCTTCGAAAAGGAGAGCTATATTTTGAAGAACACGAATCTGGAAGTACCTCTATTGCTTTATTGAAGTTTGGATTTCTTTCATTCCAGGCTAGTGGCTGCAAGAGGAAAGCTCTTGTGCGTTATGCATTTCTGCACAAAAGCTTCCAAGAGTTCTTTTCTGGATTTTATCTTGCGTGCCAAATTCTTGACGGAGGTATTGACTATGTCTCAGTAGTAAAAGACGAGAGATTTAAAAACGAACTAAAGGAAGCGTTTCTATTCATGTTTGGAATTTTAGCCTCAACGAGTAAGGAGACAGCAGAGTCTGTTATTAAAACTATGGCTGAAAATATCAATTTAATAGATCCCGATTGTAAAGAAGACATTCCTGAATTATTTCGTTTAGCTTTAGGCTGCATTTTAGAGTGCACAAGTTTATCTCGTACCCTAGGGTTACACCTTCACATAAGTAATTTAGATTTGAGTTCCGTCGTCATTCGTGATTCTGGTGTTACTTCCCTTTCCCAGGCTCTTGCGACCAACTCCTCCTTAACTAGTTTGCATTTGAGTGGGAACGTTATTGGTGATTCTGGTGCTACTTCCCTTTCCCAGGCTCTTGCGACCAACTCCTCCTTAACTAGTTTGGATTTGAGTGTGAACTTTATTGGTGATTCTGGTGCTACTTCCCTTTTCCAGGCTCTTGCGACCAACTCCTCCTTAACTAGTTTGAATTTATGTGACAACGATATTGGTGATTCTGGTGCTACTTCCCTTTCCCAGGCTCTTGCGACCAACTCCTCCTTAACTAGTTTGAATTTATGTGACAACGATATTGGTGATTCTGGTGCTACTTCCCTTTCCCAGGCTCTTGCGACCAACTCCTCCTTAACTAGTTTGGATTTGCGTGGGAACGGTATTGGTGATTCTGGTGCTACTTCCCTTTCCCAGGCTCTTGCGACCAACTCCTCCTTAACTAGTTTGGATTTGAGTGACAACGTTATTCGTGATTCTGGTGCTACTTCCCTTTCCCAGGCTCTTGCGACCAACTCCTCCTTAACTAGTTTGGATTTGAGTGTGAACTTTATTAGTGATTCTGGTGCTACTTCTCTTTCCCAGGCTCTTGCGACCAACTCCTCCTTAACTAGTTTGGATTTGAGTGTGAACTTTATTGGTGATTCTGGTGCTACTTCCCTTTCCCAGGCTCTTGCGACCAACTCCTCCTTAACTAGTTTGAATTTACGTGACAACGATATTGGTGCTTCTGGTGCTACTTCCCTTTCCCAGGCTCTGGCAGCCAACCCCTCCTTAACTATGTCGTATTTGGGAAGTGAGGAAGATGAGGATTAAGAACTAAACCTTAGTTCTCCTCTTCCTCACTTTCCACTTTCTGAGTATGTAAGTAAGAAAATTTGTTTATTTAGTACTTAGCTATATTTAGTTTCAAATATTCCCAGTAAAAAAAGTGAAAAAGTACAAGTAAAGTGTTCCTGACGTTGAGGAGAGAAAAAAATACCATCAAATTTTTTGTTAATTATTTTAACCCAGTATCTTCAATTCATTCATATAATACACGTCAAAAAAACTTTGGAGTTCATTATCTATTGATGTTAAGAAAATCAAGCCGTTTTCCAGTTTTCGTCAATATATCAAGAATTCTGTGATGGATGGTTATAATACTATTATTGATTCCTAATGTATTACGATTATATTATCTGAACTACTATTTAACTAATGAAGAAATACTTTTTATCTAAAATAACTATTTTTTTTTATCTATATTCCTTCTACTCATATTCTTGTTAGGGTCACCTACTCGGTTGGTTCCACGAACTATTTAAGTGTCCCAAACTCTGCAAAATGAACCTACAACTGAAATCCTCTCTCCCTTCAAAATCTCTCGATTTTATATATTTTAAAGCACTAATTTGTATTAATTATAATTATTCTGTGTAAGTTTAAATAAAAATTGACTTCACTTGACTTTCTTTTATTAGTGCTCGGGTGCCGAATCAAAAGAGAGTTCATACTGTAGGACCGTGATTGTGTGACGCGGGATTACATCGCACCAATTGAAAGTTTTTCGGTTTAACTGTTCAACCACTGTGTCTGGTCATGGTGGTCGAGGTGGTCGAGGTGGTCGCGGTGGTCGTGGTGGTCGAGGTGGTCGAGGTGGTCGAGGTGGTCGTGGTGGTCGTGGTGGTCGAGGTGGTCGTGGTGGTCGAGGTGGTCGAGGTGGTCGTGGTGGTCGTGGTGGTCGAGGTGGTCGAGGTGGTCGAGGTGGTCGTGGTGGTCGTGGTGGTCGAGGTGGTCGAGGTGGTCGTGGTGGTCGTGGTGGTCGTGGTGGTCGAGGTGGTCGTGGTGGTCGTGGTGGTCGAGGTGGTCGTGGTGGTCGGGGTGGTCGCGGTGGTCGCGGTGGTCGAGGTGGTCGTGGTGGTCGTGGTGGTCGAGGTTGGCGTGGTGGTCGTGGTTGTCGTGGTGGTCGTGGTGGTCGAGGTGGTCGTGGTGGTCGCGGTGGTCGAGGTGGTCGTGGTGGTCGTGGTGGTCGAGGTGGTCGAGGTGGTCGTGGTGGTCGTGGTGGTCGTGGTGGTCGTGGTGGTCGAGGTGGTCGGGGTGGTCGTGGTGGTCGAGGTGGTCGGGGTGGTCGAGGTGGTCGGGTGGTCGAGGTGGTCGGGTGGTGGTCGAGGTGGTCGAGGTGGGTGGGTGGTCGTGGTGGTCGGGGTGGTCGTGGTGGTCGAGGTGGTCGAGGTGGTCGTGGTGGTCGAGGTGGTCGAGGTGGTGGTGGTCGGGTGGTCGTGGTGGTCGTGGTGGTCGTGGTGGTCGTGGTGGTCGTGGTGGTCGTGGTGGTGGTCGTGGTGGTCGGGGTGGTCGGGGTGGTCGGGGTGGTCGAGGTGGTCGTGGTGGTGGTCGGGTGGTCGAGGTGGTCGCGGTGGTCGAGTGGTGGTCGGGTGGTCGAGGTGGTCGAGGTGGTCGTGGTGGTCGTGGTGGTCGTGGTGGTCGTGGTGGTCGTGGTGGTCGTGGTGGTCGTGGTGGTCGTGGTGGTCGTGGTGGTCGTGGTGGTCGTGGTGGTCGAGGTGGTCGTGGTGGTCGTGGTTGTCGTGGTGGTCGAGGTGGTCGAGGTGGTCGCGGTGGTCGTTGTGGTCGAGGTGGTCGAGGTGGTCGTGGTGGTCGAGGTGGTCGCGGTGGTCGCGGTGGTCGAGGTGGTCGTGGTGGTCGAGAGGCGGTCGAGGTGGTCGTGGTGGTCGAGGTGGTCGTGGTGGTCGTGAGGGTCGATTTTGCGAAAAATCGCGACATATGCATTCCAGTGGTTAAACTGATAGCGTTACACGGCCCGTCACGCCAGTGTTACTGATAGATACGCTTTAAACAATTTACTTAAAGGCAGATTAAAAGCCATTCGAAATTAAATCCTTTAGTAAACCTATTATTCTCATTGATTGTAGCATTTTCTTCAGATACATCATATAGCGTCCCCGGGATAGCATCACACACTTTCATGTTCAGTTTCAGAGTGTTGATTTCCCTCAAAAAATGGTTATAAACAGAAAAAAATCTAAAAATTAAAACTGTTTAATGGATGAATTTTGCTTTGCGGGATATTTACGAATTAAACAATATCATTTGGTTTATCAAAAGTAATTTCCTTGAAGCAATTACATATTTTTGAGTAAGTATTGGTGAAATAGTTCTTTTCGAAGTTTTTTAGGCCCTTGCGGGCTCTCAAAACTGAAAAAAAAGCTACGTGGATGCCAAAGAGGAGCCTATATACTTGTATGACAACCTGTATGAATCATGAAGCTGCTGCATGACTCTATACTATATGACCCATTAAAACAAAACTTTGGTGGTTTGCCAGGCTTACCATTAACTAAGGTTCGGGTTGTTTTCGACGTTTCAGGGGAAAGTTCTGAAACAAACGGAACCTCTGAAAAGCCATTCGGTTATTTTCCTTGTTGGAAAATTCCAGGCGGAAATTCGGATTTCATGTCTTCAAACCTTTTTTAAATTTCGCAGCCGTTTTTCCTTAAACGAAACTGACTTAGGCAAATGGTAAACGCGATTACCGAACCGAATCAAAATTCAGCAGTCCTGAATTCTGTTCACCATTTGCCAGCCCGACCGTGAAGCGACCAGTTTACCCATGTAAAAAGTAGAAAAGCCTTGTGTCCAAAAGCCTGCGATACAGCTTCCTCTCATCGCTATCTGCCACTAGGGACACTTCGTCACAGAGCGGTGAGAGGCGGGTTGAGACTATGCGCCATATAGCTTAAGTACCTTGAGGAGCCTTGTTAAGTGCATAGTAGATCGTAGCAATGACAGATTGTTGCAATATCTCTACGCTTTAAGAGACACAAACAGCAAACTCGCTATTCCTCTGCCCCAGACAAATGTTTAAAGAAAAATAGTTTTTCTGGAGCAGTCCTTTGAAATAGCCTTCGTTTTGAAGGCTGGCTGCAAACAATTCTTCCGGAGATCTACACGGTACTTACGTAAAGCAGACTAAGGCTCTCAGTCTAATTCGGTTTTGTGACAAAGAAAAAGGTAAGGTTTTGGAGGCCTTGATTCTTAAACAGGTTATACAATTCCAAGCGTCTTGAACATGGTATTTTTTTTTCGGACCATTTGCCAGTCTTTTGTATGGTTGACACACCTCTCAAAAAGCAAAATAGACAAAATACGTATTTTAGAGCCCGTTTACATAAAGGGGGGACCCCAGATAGGTGAGGTAACAAGGGGCGGGTTACCCCACCTAACGTGTAAACGTGATCACATTAAAATGAGAGATTATATGGACAGGTGGGTTACCCCACCTAAGCGGGTTGCCTTACCTATCTGGGGTACCCCACCTTCATGTAAACAGGCCCTTAGAGACTATAGTAAATTTAACACAGAATCATGCCTCCACGATATTCATACAATTGACTGGAATGCGATAACTGAACAATGCAATGATTTGCATGAAGTAACAGCTCAGACTATTGATGCAGTTGAATTGATTGTTAAACAACATGCACCAAAAAGAAAACTGTCTAGGAATCAACAACTGATAAAGAGAAAGACAAAAAGTCAGACTACTCCCCTAAGAATAGCTAGGAATAACAAGATATATACCAACAACGAAGATATTGCAGATCAGTTTAATAAACATTTTACTAATGTAGGCCCAAACTTGGCCAGTAAAATTGACAAAAGCAATGACAATCCTACACAGCATATCTCGTCATCTTTGGGTCCATTGTTTTTTCTGCTCAAAGTTCAAGCAAACTATCCTACCGAATCTTTGCTGATGACTCTAATATGTTTTATGCGAGTAATAATCTGTATAACCTTGAGTACGTCATGAATGAAGAATTTAAGTCAGTAGTTAAGTACCGTATTTATTCGAATAAGCGCCCAACCTCGAATTAGCGCCCATCCTAAAGAATAAGCACCCAGCCTCGAATAAGCGCCCACCCCCTCCTCCTCCCAATCAAACTCAAATAAGTTTTCACCCCCACCCCACCCACTTGAGTGAATAAATTCTAATAAGACACTTCCCCGAGGACGGAGTTTTCTTCAGAGTATTTTACAGAAACCTTACTTTGTTACTTCTTCGCGTTTTGTTATTAGCTTTTTTTGTTTTGTTGCAAAATAAACATACTTCACTAGCTCACTAGCTGAAAATGGTGAGAATTTAATAAGCGCCCAGCCTCGAATAAGCACCCACCTCGAATAAACGCCCACTCTCAAGGTCCAAAAATTTAATAAGCGCCCAGCGCGGTTAATCGAATAAATACAGTACTGTGCCATTAACAGATTATCTATAAACTTTTCAAAAACAAATTACATCCTAGTCTCATGCTCAAGGTTAAGTGGAAGTATAAATGTAAATAACATCAAGATCAAAAGCCAAATACAGTACATGGGTGTGTATATAGATAGATACTTACACTAGGGACCTCAAATTAAGCATATTAAAAATAAATTAGCAAAAGATAGATACTACGTAAATCTGCATACAATGAAACAACTGTATTACTCTTTCATCTATCCATACTTAACCTATACTATCACTAGCTGGGAAAGTGCTTGCAAAACTAGGCTGAATAGGATCAGGACTAAGCAGCAACAATATTCTCTGGAACTCTCCCTCTAGCTTCCGACTGCCATAGTAATAATAATGATTGTTTATTCAACCTTTTTGCAGCATAAACTGAATTACAAGGCGGGTCATTAATTACATACAAATACCTCGGAATTATGACACGTAAATATAACTGTTGGTGTTAAGACACATCACATTTCGCTATTTTAAACTTGATTCTGGTATTTGATGGTGCAAAAACTTCCAAATCTGTCAGTTCTTGAGG